AGGAAAGCTTATATTCGCTCAGGTAGGCCGACTGTCCTCTACGGAGGTTGGGGGCTATTTGACCGAAACGCACGAACGCAAAAAGATAGCAAAACTTATATTCGCTCGGGTAGGCCGACTGTCCTCTACGGAGGTTGGGGACTATTTGACCGAAACACGCGAACGCAAAAAGATAGCAAAGCTTATATTCGCTCAGGTAGGCCGACTGTCCTCTATGGAGGTTGGGTTGGGGATTTTTTTTTGAAAATTTGTACTAATAGTCACGTAATTATAATATATTCTTAAAATATCTAGGCCTAGAATCGCCTAGAATCTTCGAAGTCTCCTAAAATATGACTTATCATGTGATAAGAGCCTTACCAAAGAGTTCACACAAAAATAGGCGACACTACAAAATTTCAGTTTCAATGTCGCTCCTAGCGGATTCTAGCGGTTTTTAATATACGAATCTAGCAGGTATGCAACTTCGAGTGTTGGCAACCCTGCTCCTCCGAAACGGCTTGATCGATTTTACAGTAGGTCTTAGAATAAGTTGTTATCTATTTTTTATACCCTTAAGTGATAAGGGTGGCCCACCACAATTTTTTTTTATTTTTAAAAAAAAAATATTTTTATTTTTATGATGTGGCATTACAAAATACAGGCAATCCTAAATTTTCACCCTTCTACGTGCTTCTACCATCAACCCTTATTTGTTAATAGTTTTTTTTTAATTTTTCGTTACCATACTCCTCCGTAGAGAGAGAGAGAGAGAGAGAGAGTACTCACTTTCATCACTCAAGGGACCACCTCTGTGCAAAATTACATACTGCCAGGACGGATTTTACATAAAAATTATACCCTATATAATATATACCTATATAATATACCGGGTGTTTTGGTTTGTAATCCCATGTAAATTTTAATGGGGTCAATTATTGGCTTCCCTAATTATTTTAGATAATAATTCTATTTAGGTTTATTGAAGAGCACTAAAACCCACATTCAAAAGAATAACTTTAGATATTATTGATTAGCCCGGGCTAATCAATAATATCTAAAGTTACTCATTAAATATATAGATTTTAGACATAGGAAGTACTTAACAAAACAAAAAGATCAAACAAAACTTCGTTCGATTAAGAAACAAAATACAGGGTGATCCATTTAAAATAGTGGAGAAAAATACATTTAGTTTTGACTCACACTGTATATATAAAAAAAGATTGCAAATATTGTTAGATTGAATTTTAAAGAAGACACCATTAAACACTACCTCAGGCTAAAAAAAATTAAAATTCTTCGAATTTAGAATTTTGAGAGGGCTTTAAATAATAAGCAGTAAATTTAGTTTTCAAACGGTTATATTTCAAAAACCACTCGGTAGAGTATATGACATTATGGTATTTTTGAAATGGGAATTTAATGGTAAATCCACTGAGCTAAAAAATATACAGTAGTATTCCATTTAAAAATATACAACTTTTGTTTGAAAATATATTTGAATCACCCTGTATGTTGACGAGAAGATTTTCAAAACGTACGGTACTATTACCCCCACATTACGTAGAAAATAAATTGAAATAATAAAATGAAAATAAAATATAAATGACAGTTAAAATAAGGACACTGTATAGGTATAGGTAATACTATTGTATATGTATATGTTACTGTTAAGGTCCGATGTCCGGTTAATGTCGACATTACCCGCTAATCTCGAGAATAACACCCAACAAAACAACCAAAAACATAACCTAACCCAAACATTAACGTGTTAATGTCGACATTAACCGGACATCGGACTTTAACCGTAACTATTGTAATGAAGTTCATAAAATTTCTAGGATACCCTGTATATTGTGTTAATATTATACTAGAATAATAGAGACTTCATTCTCTTTTAATAATGACAGTCAATGTATTTTATTGTTAACTCATTATTGTAATGAACTTCATTAGTGTTCCTATTGTTGAATTAAATAAGTTAAATATTTAATTGCCATTTTGTAAGAGAGTTTTGATTGGTTTTGGTCGCTATAGTTTAATGCGAAAAACCGAACCGTTTGCGCCGCTCGCTCTATTCTGCAAGTGCAGGCCCAGAGGAGGGGAGGGTCAGTCGAGTACCCTGGCTGCAGCAGCTCCAGGTAGTCAGTTTGTGGTCGCACGTGAAACAGTGAGTTTCGAGTCCGGAGTGCCCTGCCAAGTGTCCTGCTGCCAGCCGCCTGTCGCCGCACTGTATAAGGTAAGCACCCACCGCCAACGTGATCGAGAGTAAGTCGTATTCTTTTTTATTGTTAATGACGTTTACTTTACTGCCTTAACAGGGATAAGGAGGCGTTACAGGGATAAGGGAGACAGAGATATTTATATTCGCTCAGGTAGGCCGACTGTCCTCTACGGAGGTTGGGGGCTATTTGACCGAAACGCACGAACGCAAAAAGATAGCAAAACTTATATTCGCTCAGGTAGGCCGACTGTCCTCTACGGAGGTTGGGGGCTATTTGACCGAAACACGCGAACGCAAAAAGATAGCAAAGCTTATATTCGCTCAGGTAGGCCGACTGTCCTCTAGGGAGGTTGGGGGCTATTTGATCGGATCACGTGGACGCGAGGAACGATTTCTTTTGTTAAAAGGGAGAGAGTGAGCCAGCTAACGGTTAGGGTAGTACAGTAAACGCACGGGTCGCGAATGTTCACGGAGCTAAAACAAGACCTCGCCCAAATCCCGAGGCGGGTTTTGTAGCTCCCGTATTTTCTGGGTGTGTCGTCCGGACGGCACCTTGCATCAGTGACGCTGGACGGGATCTCGCCGAAATCCCGATGTTTTTCTGACCGGGTGGTGTGTGTGCGGGCTGCGCTTATCCAAACGACGTACAACTCGCCGAGACGTCGCTAACGTCTACGTCACTCCGGGACTCGCGTTTGTGTATCCCTCGGGACGCGGTTAACTTCGCGATCGATCCAGGGCTCGCGTTTGTGTATCCCACGGGACGCTGTTAGTTTCGCGATCGATCCAGGACTCGCGTGTGTGTATCCCACGGGACGCTGTCTAACTTCGCGATCGATCCAGGGCTCGCGTTTGTGTATCCCACGGGACGCTGTTAGTTTCGCAATCGATCCAGGATTCGCGTTTGTGTATCCCACGGGACACTGTTAATTTCGCGATCGATTCAGGGCTCGCGTTTGTGTATCCCTCGGGACGCTGTTAATTTCGGGATCGATCCAGGACTCGCGTTTGTGTATCACGCGACATTTTTAACTTCGACGCCGATCCAAGGTCCGGGTTTCGCTGTCAAAACGGACGCCGTTCCGAGAAACATTTAGCTGTGACCATCGGGACGCCTGTAACGACGTCGCCGCCGTTTAGAGAGTCGCGTCATAGTAGAGTGTGTTGCTCCGGTACTTACGTGTCTGTGTTCATTAGGACGCCGCTAAATTCGACGTCGATCAGGAACTCGCGTCGTCTTATTTAATAGAACGTCATTTCGGGAACGCGTTTTGAATTCGCGGAATAGAATCAGTCAGAGAGTTACATATCGGGAATAATCGATCAAAACTCTAGAGGTACATGGTTGTTATTGTAAATTTTACTTTACGGGTCTTTAAATATACATTTTATTTCACTATTGTTACGATTCGAGGACGTGAACCTTCCTGGATTATTTTTTGTACATAATTAATTAGTTAAATAAAAGCCTAGTGTTACGTTATAGTTAATTGTGTGTTTTATTTTCTTTTCATCTCATCGCTCCCTGGTATCTCTACTGTTTTGTGTTTGATTTTTAAGATCTTTATTAAAGGTAAGGTTTAAGTTAAACGTCTTTGATTTATCTAACAATTTTATTTAATAATCCGAGAAAGTGAGGTGAGGTAACCTAACCAAGTCCAAATGTTCGTGAATTTTATTTTTTAACAATGTAATATTTACAACGCCATATATTTTTACAAAAAAAAATTGATCAACTCCATATTTTTGTACATAAATTCCACAATGTGATATTACACAATTGTTCAAGTCCATAATGTAAAAAATACACGTAAATAAAACATTGTTTCTAATGGACGTCACTTTCTCTTGTATTCCAACGATATTTGTTATGTGTTCTTAAATCTGGTACTATAATAAATATTATACTTTTAAATCTGTTGTTTTATTTGTCTGTAAAATGTTTCATGGTATAATTTTCTGTAAATTAAAATAAATTATTTATTGTAGGTTTTTATGCACATAAAATGATATAAGCAAACCATTTAACACTTTACAATAGTTTAACCTGGTTTAACCTTTATATATAAATCCTTGTTTTTTACCATTTGACTTGTTTGCCAACTTAGGACCAATCAGATGACTACACATTATTTTGTAGAAATCTGATTGGCTCTAACTGGCGAACAAGTATACATACGTCTTGCTTAAAAATAAATTGCATTTATTTAAATTTGCCGCCACATTTGTTACTTTCCTGGGTGGCTAGATGGCGCCACTTCAATATACAGATTACAGATTTCTTTACAAATTTGAAACCGTTTTGAAACTAAAAAATGCATGGGAGTTAGCGTTCTTCTTTAGTGTGTTCTGTGATTCGGCGTCCGTGACCTTTCTCTAAAACGGGGGAGCGTCACACTATACATTAATATACATTAAAATACTTATTTATTAGAAAGAGAAAAGTATTTTAAATTAACGTCTCCTTTAAATATAAGTTTTTCCTAATACTTGTGACACTGATGAAAAGAAAAATAGGATTCATAATATAATCCAAGAAATTGAATTAAATTTACTAAATTTACCACAATATATGAAAATATGTACTTCTAAGATAATAGCATGATAAATAATTCTGTTGGTCAAAAATGTTAAGAAAGAGATTTAAAATATCTAAAATTAATTCTCTTAAATAAAATATACCACACTTTTCTGACTACTTAAGTTACTTATAACTATATCTTTGTTACAAATAAGTTACAAATATACAAATCTTAGTAATAAACCATATTAAACAAAAATAAATACACCAATGGAAAGGAATTACTAAATATTCATATATTAACAAGTGCATGCTTAATAAAAGCTTAATATCTATTAAATTACTAAATAAGATACAAATCTGCAAAATCAATTCTTTTCAGTTGAATTTGAATGTAATACTCTTGATAATGCCACATAACTCATTTTGCTGGGAATATCGTGATATCCAATAGGACCAGCTTCGCAATCTGCACATGTAAGATATTTTGTATTTCCCACTGTATTTGAAAATCCTACATTGTAAAACGTCATCATATCTTCCACAGCCCAAAAATGTATTATGTCTTCTGTTTCTGGATCTGACTCACTACCTTTTGTTTGTCTAATATGAGGTAATTTATACTGCAAATAAAACAAATTATAAATATAATATTAAAAGTATTATATCATAAGATACCGGTGAGTTTAGCATATTTATATACAGGGTGTTTCAAAACAAATGTAAAAAACTTTAAGGAGCTATTCTAAAGGAGCTAATAAAGGGAAACTTGTTATATAAACGTTGGGTAAAAAAATATATAAACAAGGGTAAAAGTCAATCATTAGCGAGGTATTGCGGTACAAAGGTGGTAGAAAAACAAAGTTTTATTTTTATATCCGTATTAACTAAAAGCGATAAAGTAAAAGCATAAAAGTACGTTACCTATGGGAAAGAATATTATAGTTTTAAGAAGGCTCGTCTGAAAGTTTTCTTTCTTTATAGTACGTTCATAAAAATATCATCATAGGAATTTAATAAATAGTTTCGTTCAAAAGAAAAAGGAAACGTCAAACTATAAATATTTTTATAGACTAATGATATTTTCATGTTATATTTTTATTTATTTAAATATATTTCTTATTTTTTATTTAAAAAGACCCGTCGGTTCGATCGTGAAATTACGATAAAAACACAGGTTTTGGGGGCATAATAGAGCCGGGACCCCATTATTAGGCCAGATGCCACGCAACGCCACGCTATCCTAAGTGAGTCCACGTGTTGCGACGGCGACGTGGGAAAGAGTATACACATGAGATCTGGGACAGACGAATCGCCCACGTGTGATAGCGTGGTACGGCGTGACGTGGGGTGGCGTGTTGCCTAGTGTGTACGCAATACGTAGTAAATATGCAAAGATACTGCCTTTTACTTACATATTTACACTTGTGACTTCTTTTTACTTCCAAAATGGCGACCTTATGTCACTTGCCGCTTTTTTAAAACTTCAAAAATCGTGGGAAAAAATTATTTTTGGGTATTTAGATAGAGTAGGATCACATTAGTCTAAAAATGCAAAAATCTCAAAATTGAAAAAATTCACTTGCCGTCTTTTGAACGACTTATGCAAATTCCTTCAAAAGATATTCACCGGCTCTTTTTTCACGCTTCACAGAATGCAGTTAGGAGGCTAAACTACTTTATAAATACCGTGTGGTGGACAGGGGACACAGGAATACCCATGTAAATTTTGAAAAGGTCAAATATTATCTCCCCAGATGATTTTATGTAAAAGTTGTATTAGACTTTTTTAAAGAGGCGTTAAAGTTGTACTTTTATCTAGAATTTCGTTTTATTTAGAATCGGCATTTAAAAGTTAATTATACAGGGTGTCTTAAATAAGTGCACACATTTTCAGGGGTGGTATATTTCGACCCCAGTAACAGGTCTATGAAGTTTTTTTCGCTAAAAAAAGATCAATCAAGCATTTTGGACTTATCTGAAAAATGGTAAAGAGAAAATATGTTTCTTTTATCGAGATCTTTTGCGCTTATTTAAGACTCACCCTGTATAATTTATTTATTTTTGATTTTATATTGGAAGTGACGTTATATTTGAAGAATGAATATTTATATTGGAAATAACATCTACAAAACTGAGAATAGTATCCGCGCTGTATGACTTGCTGTTCGTTACTCGATCATATTACGACATACATCCATAATAACTGAAGAAATAATCGAAATATTTGTAACTAAAGATATTTTATTAAACAACGATACTAATTAATAAAATGTCCACAGAATCCCCTATTCACAGCCAAACAATACTCCAAATGATTGTAAAATTCACGCCTCGCAATACAAACACGTTAAGAGGAGATTGGCATTCCTCCGAGATGTCGTTTTCAGTTCATCTAAATTTCTTTATTTAGTATGCCTATAAAAACGGTTTTTGAGTGTACTCCACAGGAAGAAGTCGTTCGGCAAAAAATCCTGTGATAATTACTTACTGTATCCCCAATAGATGGAAGTCAATGTTTTTCTTTTCTTCAACATGAAGAAGAATATTCAAGTCATCGTTGTTTTCTTCATGTTCATTAGTTTGGTCTTCACACTTCCATATGCTTAATACGGTGCCTTTAGTTTAAAACCTCATCTGGTTTATTCTTTAAACTGTTGACTTATTCGGTGTAGGCTTTGCGGGAGACTGAGTTGCGAACATTATCTAACACAAATACTATTTCCAGCAAAATGCCGTTTAACCATTTTTCAGAAGTTGTGAAAATCATAATTATTTTATACAAAATTACTCTATTTTATACCATAAAGCACAGAATATCTAGCTACGCAAAAGAAGCCTCGTTACATGTATAAAATCGTAGGTCTCAAAAGGAGACAGGCTTTTAAAGTCTGTCTCCAAATCAGATATTTTGATGCGGTAGTTTCACTACTACATAACGGAGGGCGATAAATTTAAAAGAAAACAGTTTTCTACAAACGAAATTTAAAAGAATTTTATGCAGTGTTGCCATTGTGTAATTTATATTGTAATACTTCCTGATAAAGCCTACCTTCAAATTTGCTACATCATTTAAACATATTAAAATAGATTAGAGCTCTTTTTTCAAACGTTTAAGTATTTAACTTGCCATGTTAGTTGGAGTTAAATCTTGAGCTGAATTAAAATCACTTCCTGACGTTTGATTCTAACTGAATCCTGAATTTTGATTGTAATTCGGCGACAATATAATAAGTATTGTTCTACTATTATGACACCACTTCCTGACGTTCGATTGTGTTCATACCGTACGATTGGGAAAAAACGGCGTTAGCGATGGCTATGAAATGAAAATCGCTGTCATTTTATGTGAAAATTTATATGGGAAATGTCATCGATCGTCTTTTCCCAGCCAACTGGACTCCGTTTTTTTTGGCATCATACGGTATTTGATATATACTTGCGTATTTTTCATGACATTGCAATATTATGGTATCATGAAGCATATGAAGTGATACCGTAATATAGTACCATATTACGATACATGGCGTTCGATTGGGCTTAAACTTGGTATATTACGTATCTTCAGTGACATTGTAATATTATGGTACCAAAATATCATGTACCATATAAATAACATGGCAAACAGAAAAAAATTGTTATTATAGTATTTTTTTAGTCAATTAACATTTTTTGTACTGCATTTTAATAAATCATTTCCATTATTATTAAACGTATATTTCATTACTAACGTTTCAGCATTAATAAATATCGCTATCAATCGCCCTGTATATTATTAATTTTAAAGGTAATTAAAGTTATTTTCTTAGTTAACATAATAAAGTAGTGTATATTAAAAATGTATTTTGAGAGCATATGTTTTCTAATAATATACTTAAAATTAAAACTATTTTAAAAGCCAAACGAATAATTAATATAAGTGTATCTGACAAGAAACGAAGAATAGAAAGAAATTATTATACACCAGAAAAAGAATGGGATGCCAATTAAAGTCTGTTTGAATCTGGCAACTGTGAATATTTAGCCCAGCTTTAAGGCCGTCGACGTGCCGTCGATCTACGTCGATCCAAAACCGAAAGTTGAAAATTTCCAATTATATTCTGATTATGACATTGTCGCGCCATCTAGTATTTTATTTGTGCAATTTTAGCTCTTTCATTTCGAGTATTTTTCTGTTGCGTAGCTAGATATTCTGTGCTTAAAGGCTACCTTCAAACCCCTGTAAACAAAACGTGATCGAATTTGACAATGACAAAATCGCATTTTGGGCCGTATTATAAATTTCCCTAATTTGAAGGTAGATTTTTGCAAATAACTTTTAAATGCCGATTCCAAATAAAACGGAATTTCAGATAAAAGTACAAGTTTAACGCCTCTTCAAAAAGTCTAAACAGCTTTTCCATAAAATTATGTGGGGAGATAATATTTGACCTTTTCAAAATTTAAATGTGATTTCCTATGTCCCGTGTTCCAATGCACCACAAGGTACTTCACAATGCACCACATGGATTCAGTGCGCAGGTGGCGCGGGGTTACGTTTATTTCTATGTACAGTAAAAATCGTCGGTAGCTCTTAGTTAAGTCGTCCAGCCGGTACTAATTTAGTACGCGTTGAGCAACCGGCAAAATTTCCTGTTAATGTTAAAAAAATAAAATCTATCCGATAAGCCGACGCTCTTTTAAACGGACGTAGACACTAAATGATTCCCGCGTATGTGACTAAAAATATCCCAAAAGTGGACGCGAAACTCTAATAGCCGGACAATTTTTTAGGTCTGCTTACATTAAACTCGGTAATGCTCCGTTTTATATTAGGTTACTTTCTTAGCTAGATTGGTATACATGGCGTTCGTTTGTATTTTGTCTTTAGTTCAGACAGGTTCTGTTATATATTGATACAGATAGATTTATATTATTATCATATATTATTTGATGCATATAACAAAGTATTGATATAAAGCCTAATTAGTCAGGGAACATTGTTAATTCAAAAATTAATATAAGCCTATAAATTAATAATACCTATATATTTTAATCAAAAGAATAGTTTAGATTGGTCTACAATTAATAAGAAAAAAATATATATTTAAAACGCCTGTACGCTATGTTTTATGAAAAAATGTTACGAAAAAACATTTCTGGAAATACTTTCAGAGGTAAACTCAAATATAATAAAATATATAATAAAAATTAGTTCCCACCTTTCCTGAAATTGATCGAGACGCGCAGTGATTGGTTGTTTTTTATTTTTAACCCAGATTAACACAGGTTAACAATAAAAAACAAACAAACAATCACGGCGCGTCTCGATCAAACGCGGGAACTAATTTTTATAACACGGGCTTCTATTTATCGTACTATTTTGTGAAATAGCACGAAGCAATAATAGTCTAATAGCTAGCAACGTTTTCGAGAAAGTATTTTAAGACGTCTGGCTCTTTGATATATATTTTACTATGCTCTCTGGAACAGCATACGGCCCGTCTGGCTGCCGATACCCGTTGCGTTCACTACTGCGCATCGAAAGAAGATCCTATATTTTTTTTATTAATTTAGTCCTATAAATTCTAGTATTGAATATAAATCGAACATGTCTCCATAGCACAGTGCGTAGAGTTTCCGA